TGATGCCAAAAGAAGCAGCAAATAATATGCATTTTGATACGATGTAAATGTCAGATTTCATGCCTTCATATTTTAGAAAGCTTTATTGAATTAGATAGTTTGCATGATACTAGCTTTCTCATCTACTACATGTGAAGATTTAGAAAATTCTAATCTATTCTGAAGGTTTCATGGACTAGTTTTTAAGTTGGCAATTAGTTGATGCATTATGTCTTGTTATATACTCTAGGATTGGTTGTTAAACAACATATTAACTATTGCTGCATTTGTAATTGATAAGTATAAAATGACTTTTGAATGATATTGGATTTTTGTATCAGATCATTCAATGCATAAGAAATGATATTCTTGGAATGCCATCAAATTCCTTGTTGATTGTTGCCTCTTTCTCCCTCACCAGATGAAATGCTTCATAATAATTTTTTTTTTAAAATAGAAATGGCTCATAATAAATTAAGATATAGAAACTAACAGAAGCTGAAAGCGTGCTTGTTGAGTACCACTTTGCCCATATCATAAGTGCCTTACACCCCATGGACAAAGGTGTTTGCTACAACGTGAATTTACAATTAAATGGATTGCATCAGTGCCTGCTGTAGTTTTTCTTTCCAATGTTTGAAATCCCTTCTGTATTTTAATTAGAAATTCTGAGGTTAGAATAATACTATTACGATAATAGTCTATATTCACATTTAGGTTTTAAGTGATTGATATAATCTCTTTTCTAGAACATCAAGTTGGCTGGGAAGTTCTATGTGTGCTTGGAACATTCTGGCTCAAAATTGGCTAATAAGTTTCATAGTCAAGGCACACTAGTTGTCATGCCTTGTTAGTGTTGGAATTTAATGTATTTCTACTAAGAAAGCATTTTGTAAATTATGTAATTTTTTATGCAGAAGAAAAAGATTCTAATTTGAAACAAATTTATATTTAAAATATATTTTTTTATAATTGTTATTCTTCGTATTTAGTACTTCTAATTTATTTAATCTGTTTAGGTTTATCGTAAGTATTAAAAACTTAGGCTATTAATTTTTTTGAGATAAAAACTTAGTCTATTAATTAGATTTAACATATA